TACTTTGTTGAAGCACCTTTGGCAGCGATTACAGCCTCGAGTCTTCTTGGATATGACGCTACAAGCTTGGCACACCTGTATTTGGGGAGTTTCTCCCATTCTTCTCTGCAGATCCTCTCAAGCTCTGTCAGGTTGTATGGGGAGCGTCACTGCACAGCTAATTTCAGGCTTCTCCAGAGATGTTCGATCGGGTTCAAGTCCGGGCTCTGGCTGGGCCACTCAAGGACATTCAGAGACTTGTCCCGAAGGCTCTCCTGCGTTGTCTTAGCTGTGTGCTTAGGGTCGTTGTCCTGTTGGAAGGTGAACCTTTGCCCCAGTCTGAGGTCCTGAGCGCTCTGGAGAAGGTTTTCATCAAGGATCTCTCTGTACTTTGCTCCATTCATCTTTTCTTCGATCCTGACTAGTCTACCAGTCCCTGCCGCTGAAAAACATCCCCACAGCATGATGCTGCCACCACCATGCTTCACCGTAGGGATCGTGCCAGGTTCCCTCCAGACGTGACGCTTGGCATTCAGGCCAAAGAGTTCAACCCTGGTTTCATCAGACCTGAGAATCTTGTGACCATAGCTCTAGGAAGAGACTTGGTGGTTCCAAACTTCTTACATTTAAGAATGAGGAGACCACTGTGTTCTTGGGGACCTTCAATGCTGCAGAATTATTTTTGTACCCTTCCCCAGATCTGTGCCTCGACACAATCCTGTCTCAGAGCTCTATGTCCAAATGCCTGAAGGTACCACGTTCATCTGTACAAACAATAGTACGCAAGTATAAACACCATGGGACCACGCAGCCGTCATACCGCTCAGGAAGGAGACGCGTTCTGTCTCCTATAGATGAACGTACTTTGGTGCGAAAAGTGCAAATCAATCCCAGAACAACAGCAAAGGACCTTGTGAAGATGCTGGAGGAAACAGGTACAAAAGTATCTATATCCACAGTAAAACGAGTCCTATATCGACATAACCTGAAAGGCCGCTCAGCAAGGAAGAAGCCACTGCTCCAAAACGCCATAAAAAAGCCAGACTATGGTTTGCAACTGCACATGGGGACAAAGATCGTACTTTCTGGAGAAATGTCCTCTGGTCTGATGAAACAAAAATATAACTGTTTGGCCATAATGACCATCGTTATGTTTGGAGGAAAAAGGGGGTGGCTTGCAAGCCGAAGAACACCATCCCAACCGTGAAGCACGGGGGTGGCAGTATCATGCTGTGGGGGTGCTTTGCTGCAGGAGGGACTGGTGCACTTCACAAAATAGATGGCATCATGAGGAAGGAAAATTATGTGGATATATTGAAGCAACATCTCAAGACATCAGTCAGGAAGTTAAAGCTTGGTCGCAAATGGGTCTTCCAAGTGGACAATGACCCCAAGCATACTTCCAAAATTGTGGCAAAATGGCTTAAGGACAACAAAGTCAAGGTATTGGAGTGGCCATCAATTTGTGGGCAGAACTGAAAAAACGTGTGCGAGCAAGGAGGCCTACAAGGAGGAATGGGACAAAATTCACCCAACTTATTGTGGGAAGCTTGTGGAAGGCTACCCGAAACGTTTGACCCAAGTTAAACAATTTAAAGGCAATGCTACCAAATACTAATTGAGTGTATGTAAACTTCTGACCCACTGGGAATGGGATTAAATTAAAAAAAGCTGAAATAAATAATTCTCTCTAATATTATTCTGACATTTCACATTCTTAAAATAAAGTGGTGATCCTAAGACAGGGAATGTTTACTAGGATTAAATGTCAGGAATTGTGAAAAACTGAGTTTAAATGTATTTGGCTAAGGTTTATGTAAACATCCGACTTCAACTGTATGTAAATAAGGTATTTCTAATTTTTACAAACCTGTTTTTGCTTTGTCTTTTATGTGTGTAGATTGATGAGGAACATTTTTAATTTAATCCATTTTAGAATAAGGCTGTAACGTAACAAAATGTGGAAAAATTCAAGTGGTGTGAATACTTTCACTGAGTGTACAAAACATTAAGAACATCTGCTCTTTCCGTGATGTAGACTGACCAGGTGAATCCAGGTGAAAGCTATGATCCCTTATTGATGTCACCTGTTAAATCCACTTCAATCAGTGTAGATGAAGGGAAGGAGACAGGTTAAAGAAGGATTTTTAAGCCTTGAGACAATTGAGACATGGATAGTGTATGTGTGCCATTCAGTGGTTGAATGAGCAAGACAAAATATTGAAGTGCCTTTGAACGGGGTATGGTAGTATTTGCCAAGTGCACTGGTTTGAGGCTCTGTCGTAGCCGGCTGCGACCGGGAGACCCATGGGGCGGCGCACAATTGGCCCAGCTTCGTCCAGGGTAGGGGAGGGAATGGCCGGCAGGGATGTAGCTCAGTTGGTAGAGCATGGCGTTTGCAACGCCAGGGTTGTGGGTTCGATTCCCACGGGGGGCCAGTATGAAAAAAAATATATATAAAAAAATAATAATGTATTCCAGACATACTGTCAGCAAATTGCACAGTAATTAAGGCTTAAGACATTGAATTAGACCCAACACTGGCAAAATGCCTGTAATATGCCTTGAAATACAGGTAGCTGTCAATATAAAGCAAACACTTGAGTAAATGAATGATACAAAGTATGTTGAAAGCAGGTGCTTCCACACATGGTGTGGTTCCTGAGTTAATTAAGCAATGACCATCCCATCATGCTTACGTTCATGTATAAAAATGCCCAGTTGCCCATTATTTTGGCTACCATGGCTAAAAGAAGAGATTGCTTTGACTTTGAAAAAGGGGTCTCAAAGGAGCATAGGGGATGTGTGTGTGTGTCAGTCACCAGATCTCAACACAATTGAACACGTATGGGAGATTCTGGAGCAGCACCTGAGACAGCGTTTTTCACCACCATCAACAAAACAACAAATGATGGAATTTCTCATGGAATAATGGTGCCGCATCCCTCCAATAGAGTTCCAGAGGCGCATTTAAGCTTTCTGGCGGCTCGCAATGGGCCAATGCCCTATTAAGATACTTTATGTTGGTGTCTCCTTTATTTTGGCAGTTACTTGTACCTTTGTAGTTGGGTCTACATGACATTTTAAATATTTCACCATGAATCTTCTTAGAGAATGAGTTATATTTTCCAACCTCACCCATCTGTGGTATAGTACCACCACAATTAAGGGGAGAAAGACATTCGTAGATAGTAAAATATTTTAATTAAATATACAGAGGATCATATAATACAAAATGTTTTTCTTCTTGTTTGCCAGCTAAATGATTGGTAAACAGATGGCACATTGTATCAAAAACACGTTAAAGATTAACAATATGGAAACAATGTGGAAAACAAGCAAATAAAAAGTGTCCTACAATAGTGTTCAGATCTAATATAAGGTGACCTTTGACACATCTAGATTGTGTAAGCAGCTGTATGCATTTATACTATTTACAGATTATAACATATAACACATGATAACAGACTGTCAGAAGTCAACAGTATTTACATTATTATTTACAGAAGATGTCAGACAGAGAAAGATACCAGAGAATTGTTTTGAATGTTAAGTAGCCTAAACAGTAGTTACTAATGCTGCTGAAGCAAACATGACATTCAGAACATGTAATTGTGAATGAATGTTTATCTTAAGTGTCTGCTAAATCTCAGCTGATTTGCTTTATGACTAAATTAAACAGCTATGTGTTACCTATATTTCATATGTCCCAAATACCCATTAAAAGCAGTTATGATGGTTGTAAACCCAGACCAGGTGCTATTAGTCCTCAGGCTCTACAGGGTTCCTTTTGATCACGGAGCCTGGCTGTGGTACATAAGTCTATTCTAGTAGCCATTCTCTACACCAGTGCTTAACTATCCCTTTGCTAAACAGTAACTATGATACTATACAATTACAGTCCAATGAGTTTGCACTGCAATGTGACGATAGAATGGAACCTTATAACTGTAGTGCTGCAACCAGTAATCGAAGATTAAGAAAGGCACAGATATTCACAAAGCAATAATCTACAAGACACATTTTTATTTATCATACAGTATGCTGTTGAACGAAGGAGGCGGAGTAAACAGCCATAGACAAAATAATGAGTGATTTTTCAGAGCTACAGTATGTCAAGATAAGCACTGTCAGATGTCACAGTAGGCAGCATCAGTGACTCAGATGTGAAGCGTAGTACAAATGCTTTCTGTTCAATATATTAATGTATCTGGGTCACCTTCCCATCTCTCAGGGGTCAACAAAACATTGAGAGAATGTTCCTGACAAACGATACGACTCGCCTTAAAAAACGATGAAAAACATCAAATGTGGTTTCTTCACAGCTTGGGCGTTCTGATGAAAATGAGCTTTTATCTACATACAATACCTCAGGACCTTGTGGTTTTGTACAGCACCGTGGTTTAACACAGTAATTCATAAGAATACAGGTGTAGTTGACTTATACATGAACACAAACAGGCCAAAGCACCACACTAGAGAGCTGTAAAAAATAAAATAAAAACTTGATTGAAGGTGGAGTAGCCTAATGCTTAACAGCTGCATTAACTTTTCCAATGGTAAACTTTGCGTAAAGAGTCTATTTTACATAGTCCCCTCATGTTTTTAGTGTTTTAACCTGATAAAATCCCCAGAACACATTTGGAGGATGAGGTTGTTGCATTGCAGTGATGTAGTCCATCCCTTTGGAGACCCAGCAAATATGATTATCCCCCAACATGCATGCCAATGGCTTTTCTCTGTTTCCCGTCCCTCCACACTCAAAGATAGTAAGAACCTGACTGTTGAGCGAGAGAATGAACCTGGTTGGTGAACACAAACACTACATAGAGTGCAAATGGAATAACATAAGTGGTGATCCAGCACAGTGCAAAAACAAACAAAGAATACAAAAAATTGAACTGTGTGCCTGACTAAATCCACCAGCTACAGTTAACCAGTGTTGTCATGCTTACTGAAGAATAGAACACTAGATCCACTGTCCCAGGTAGAGACAGTTAAGCTCCATGTGGGTCTGTCTGTTAGAGTCTGGTGCTGGGGTGCATGGAGGACAGCTGTGGGTGGTTAAGGGTGGACAGGGGGTACAGGTGGTGCAGGAGGTCCCCGTACAGGGCCGCCCCCCCAGGGTGCCTGTAGAAGTGATGGGGACTGGGCTGTGAGGCCATCAGCTGCCTCTGTAGCATCATGGAGTGGAAGGCTAGTGGAGGGACAAGGGGGGACACGGCTGTCTGGCTCTTCAGGTATTGGAGGTTGTGATGGAGGGCGTCCTGCATCCCGGGGTACATCCCTGGGTAGAAGGGCGCGTGGGGAGGGTAGGTGTGGCCCTCGGGAATGTGGCTGTGGAGGTGGACGGCGTGCGCCGGTTCAGCTGGTTTGAGCTCCTCCCCCTGTGGGTCACCCCTGCGGACAGAGCCGGCGGGGTGCATGGGGGTCACCACTCGCACCTTGCGGTCTGGCACCCCCTCGTTCTCTAGTTCCCCCAGGCTTCTCTTACTGGGTCTGGAGGCACTGACAGTCTCAGCGTGGCTTTTAGGGTTGAAGAAGGGCTGAGGGGGGTCTGGGTTCTGTTTGGGGGTAGATATAGTCATGGGGGGGACTCTGCATGCTTTGGGGTGATAGTCTAAACTCTGGTGCATCATGGGATACGGGAGGCCACAGAAAGAGGGCTTTGTGAAAGACATCCTTTGAGTGACAGGCTTGGAAATACTGAAATCTCGAGGTTCCTCGTCCAATGGTCTATCCCCATGTGTTTGTGTCCTCTCAGAGAAGTGGGGAGCTCTGTAAGCCAACCCATCTCTATCAGGATTGTTTAAGCTAAAGCCCTCACTGCTCTGACATTCCCCGATAAAATGTCCCTGTTTGTCTCTGTTGGGATAATTGGCCATTCGCTCTTGACTCAGACAGTTCTCTGTCTGCCGGTAGAGGTTGTGTAGGTGAGGGGAGGAGTAGCAGTCGCCTGCATAGCCTGGTGGTGCCTGACTTGGGTGCTGCTGCATCCGTGTCTCCCCTGCATTCTCCACTCCATCCTGGTGCTCAGTCCTGTGGAGGTAGGGGTGCCAGGGGGGGTTGAGCCGGGGCTGGAAGTGGCTCACTCTGCAAGTGAAAGGCTCAGACAGATCCCCCAGAGGACTCCTCTCTTGCTGGGGTTTGACACTTTGGGCGTGCTGGATGACAGAAGGCCTGAAGACGGGAGCCATCTCTGGGCTGTCCGGCAGGGAGTCCTGCCTCAGTTTCACCACCTCTTCAACACAACTGTCGCTCACATCAGCCACGCTGGCTGACGGAGTGGGAGGAGGGAGAGGAGGGGAACTGAATGAGTAATGACTTGTCTCACAGACTTGGGAGAGGAGCTTCTTCTTGGCTAGTGGGGACATGACCCCCAGGTTGTCCTTGGAGTACGCTGTTGGCATGTGCATGTGACACTGATTTATTGCTTTGTTTTTACTGGGGGAGTCCTGTTTGTCTGTGAGTGGCTCTGTAGAGTACAGCTGCAGTGGGGGTGGGCTCTGCTTACACATGGGCAGCACCTTCCCCACCCTCCCACCATGTCCATAACCGTGACAGTCTGTGTCTTTAGCTACTGGAGTGTCAGGTGTGCTTGGGTCAGCTAGACTGCTATACCCATGTTTACTGTTGTTGTTGTTGTCCCAGTTGTGTGGATATGGGGTCTTAGAGAGGGTTCCATTGGCTTGGTTCTTTTGCTCAGGGTTGAATTTGTCTGATTGTGGCTGGTTGGGATGTCTCCACTCGGGCTGTGGACACAGGTCACTGTGGAGGACAGGTGTGGCTCGGTGGCAGTCTGTGTTGGAGGGATTCAGGCGGGATGGTTCCTCCTGGCTCAATGTCTCCTCTTTCTTCAAGGTGTGTTGTAACTCCTCTTCAGGCTCCTCTCTGGGAAGATGATCCTGCTTCATCACTGCAAGCTCCTGGTTCTCCTCTTTCTCCTCAGATACCTTAGTGGGAAAACATATGCCATACGGTTATTCGACACATATATATGATGCATGTGTGATGTTGGTATATGTTATCTTTCTAAGAAAGAGTGTGTGAACGAGAGTGCTTGTGAGAGCTTGAGATAGTGTGAGACAGACGGACAGAAAATGAGTAGGACTGACCTGTGAGAGCTCCCGGCTTTTTGTTGTGTCATCGCTCTCCCTCTCCTTCCTGGCCACCTGTCTCTGGTTTAGTCCACCTTTAGGTCGTTTCGCTTTGGGTTTGGCACCCCCCTCTTGGGCCCCATGCTCCTGTTTTTTGGGTTTGGCTGAGGGGAGGGGTTTGTCCTTCTCTCCTTTGGTGTGCCTCTCGTAGGGTAGGAGGAGCCTTGAAAGGTCAGAGGGGAAGAGACCGAGTTAACCTTAACCTGAAACAAAGTTAAGCCTATAAACGCACCACCTCTTAGGAATGCTGTTAAACACCCTGCCCATGTAGCTGCAATGAAACATGTTGAAAAATCAACACATCTTTAAAGATGAATGTTTACATGCAAACCACCATGCGGTCTCTCATAAGTGGTGCTAGGAAAAAAAAACACAAAGTTCAATCAATTTATAAGATAATTCGCTCTAGGAAGTTATATCTAGATAAACCAGAGATGCTAGCCCTACAACTGTGGCATAGACAAAGACACAACTTTAATTACATCTGAAAACCTGAAAGGAAGTTTCAACCTTCATTTTGAAACTTGACTGACCAGAGTACACAGTGGTGGTGGGCGTGAGTCAGTTAGCATAGACTAGAGAGCATGCTTCAACACAGAGCTGGTATGTGCTGAGAGCGCTGGGGAGCCAACTAACACCTGGCATTGGGCCAGGAGATGAGGCAAGGCTGAGGCCCGCAGTGAGGGCGTGTTAATCTTTACATCACATTACTAGGGAAACAGTTAACACACTACAGCTGCTAGAGTAACTAAAAAAACATCATCACCAAGGTTATCATCACCAAGATCTTATCAAATGTGTGAAACAAAATATGGACTGACAAAAATACTGAGAAAAACATGTTAAACACCACAAAACATTACAGTATCAAATATCGAAAAGAGGTACCAGCCAGTGATGGAATGTTCAATATTATTTTGGAAAGCCTCGCCCATTTCTTTGTGAGGCCAGCTTTTATGATAGCAATCCAAATGCTATTGGGAAACAACTTAGGCATGTGCACATTAAGTAGTTGCTCAATTCCCTTTTTAAGAGACATTGTGGTAGAACAAACAAGGAATCATTATTGGTTCGCTTGTTCAAAGAGAAATGCCTTTAAAGTCCCACTGCAGTCAAAAACGTGATTTTCCTGTGTTTTAAATATACACTATGAGGTTGGAATAATACTGTGAAATGTTGAAAATTATGATAATGCCCTTTTAGTGTAAGAGCTGTTTGAAAAGACCGCCTGAAATTTCAGTCTGTTTAAGTGGGATGGAGTTTTAGCCTGCCTGGTGACATCACCACACTCGCCCGAGGTAGCGCACAACAGTTGCCCCCCTTGAAGCATGACAGTGTAAGCAGAATTGTCTCGTTGAGCTAATACTCATACAGTCTAAATGATAATAGCAGAGCAATGGTTTTGAAACAGCTGAAATGTATAGACATTTTCCTAATATTTGAGACTTGTTTCATTGAGTTTTTACCAGAAATTGCAGTAACAGCCTGTTACATTCGGAAATTGTCACAGTAGCTGCTGGCTGCACTGAGTCACATAAAACTATGGAAGCCCATCCCCACCACCAAAAACATGTCAAATGTAGATCATACAAATAGGATATGTTTTTTCATTGTAACATTGTGTGGACATTTCAGAGGTGGCACCACATGTTCCAGAGTGGTGGGAGGGTAAATTGTTTTCCTAGGGCCCAGAGTTTTACCCAATCTGGTAGTAATTTAAACAACTCCGGACTCTAGTGGTAGCGTACGACATAGTAATAAATCAGCTGAAAAAACAAATGTTTTATATGGGCTATGATGGGACAAGATTGTTTTTCTTATCAGGTCATATGGTTTAAAAAAAACTCCTGGAAAACTCCTGGCCCTAGGGAGGATGAATACATTAAAACCCTTTACACAGACAAAGAGACAACTGCAATTGGACAAAAACTAACTGGGCTGAGGTTGCTGTATGCAGGGTTGCATCATATAGGCCTTTGCATCTGTAATTAAAAAGATACTCACACAGTATGTCATCACTGTTGATTGATTTAATTCCAATAAATTCTTTTGGATTAAAAAGGCCTAGGTAGCCTAGCCACCAGAAGTGTGAATATAAACCAAATTTGATCACATTCACATTTTCTCAGAACACAAATTAAATGGGCCTATTTTATGCTATAAATACAGAGCTTAGGCTATAAAAACATGACGTTACGTTTCCCTTGGCCAGGCCCAGATGGGATCAGAGAGCATAGGCTTCTCTAGGCTACCTGCATCTGTGGTTGTTATCAGTAGGCTACATTTGATCAGACTGAAGCACAGACTAATTGTACACGTTGACAAGTCATGAGGCATTTTATTTTTTGGTGGCGGGTATGGGCTTCCATATAAAACAGTTTGTTGTGGTGAATTCACTTATATCCATGGTTTCAGTCACAATATGCCTTTTACCACGTGATGATTTGCATGATATTGATAAAAATGAAGCCTGGTTTGTTGTAATGTTGTAAGGTAGGCCTACTGTAGTTTTATATTCGTATGAGCAGGTTAATTGTTCATTTTTGATAGGCTAACATTAATTGATGAAGACATGCTGTTGGCAACTCTGTGCTTTTGTCTTGAAGCTAAAATGTAATGAGTGTAGCCTACAGACGAGAAAATAAACCCTTTGTCTGCACATAGTGGCTTGCGAAAGTATTCACCCCCCTTGGCATTTTTCCTATTTTGTTGCCTTACAACCTGGAACTAAAATTGATTTTTTGGGGGTTTGTATAATTTGATTTAGACAACATGCCTACCACTTTGAAGATGCAAAATATTTTTGATTGTGAAACAAACAAGAAATAAGACAAAAAAAACAGAACACTTGAGCGTGCATAACTATTCACCCCCCATTTAAATGTTTCCCCTTAAACCACTCGAGTGTTGCTTTTGCAGTATGCTTAGGGTCATTGTCCTGCTGGAAGGTGAACCTCCGCCCCAGTCTCAAATCTCTGGAAGACTGAAACAGGTTTCCCTCAAGAATGTCCCTGTATTTAGCGCCATCCATCATTCCTTCTGACCAGTTTCCCAGTCTCTGCCGATGGAAAAACATCCCCACAGCATGATGCTGCCATCACCATGTTTCACTGTGGGGATGGTGTTCTCGGGGTGATGAGAGGTGTTGGGTTTGCATCAGACATAGCGTTTTCCTTGATGGCCAAAAAGCTCAATTTTAGTTTCATCTGACCAGAGTACCTTCTTCAATATGTTTGGGGAGTCTCCCACATGGCCCAGCTCTGTGAAGTGTACGGCTTAAAGTGGTTCTATGGACATGTCACGCCCTGACATATGGGACTCTGGTATGTTGAGTCAGGGTGTGGTGTTCTATGTTGTGTTTTCTATGTTGTCATTCTAGGATTGCATGTCTATGTTTGGCCAGGTGTGATTCCCAATCAGAGACAGCTGTCGCTCGTTGTCTCTGATTGGGGATCATACTTTGGCAGCCTATTGGTACTCGTTAGTTGTGGGATCTTGTTCCGTGAGTAGGCTTGTTTTGTGTTTTAGCCTTAGGACTTCACATTTCGTTGTTTTGTGGTTTTGTTAGTGTGTTTATCGGTGAAATAAACATGTACTCATTTCACGCTGCGCCTTGGTCTGACCCGTCCTTCAACGAACGTGACAGAAGATCCCACCAAACACGGACCAAGCAGCGTGCCCAGGAGCAGACAGCCTGGACATGGGAGGAGATCCTGGACGGAAAGGGATCCTGGACATGGGAGGAGATTCAGGCTGGGATGGATCGCCGTCCTTGGGAGGAGACAGTGGAGGCCCGGTTTAGAGAGGAGCAACGGCAACACGGAGTGCGCCGGTCGAGGAGGAAGCCCGAGAAGCAGCCCCAATAAATTTTTTGGGGGGGGCACACAGGGTGGTTGGCGGAGCCTAGGTTCAGAGCAGAGCCAACTCCCCGTACTCACACTAGGAAGCGTGTGACTGGGCAGGCTCCGTGTTATGCGGAGCTACGTACTGTGTCGCCAGTGCGCCGGCACAGTCCTGTAAGTCCTGTGCTAGCACCATGCACGTGCCGTGCGAAAATGGGCATCCAGCCAGGATGGGGTGTGCCGGCTCAACGCTCCTGGTCTCCAGTACGCCTCCTCGGTCCCGCATATCCTGCGCCGGTTCTACGTACTGTATCGCCAGTGCGCATGCACAGCCCAGTGCGTCCTGTGCTAATGCCACACACGTACTGTGCGGAAGTAGGGATCCAGCCAGGACGGGTTGTGCCAGCTCTCCGCTCCAGACCTCCAGTCCGCCTCCACAGTCCGGCCCGGCCCGTTCCTGCTCCCGCACCAAGCCAGTGGTGCATGTTCCCAGTCCGGTACGGCCCGTGCCTGCTCCCCGCACCAAGCCAATGGTGCATGTCGCCAGCCCGGTACGACCCGTACCTGCTCCCCGCACTAAGCCAGTGGTGTGTGTCCCCAGTCCGGCCCGGCACGTTCCTGCTCCCCACACCAAGCCAGTGGTGCGTGTTCCCAGTCCGGCCCGGCCTGTTTCTGCTCCTCGCACCAAGCCAGTGGTGCGTGTCGCCAGCCCGGTACGCCCCGTACCTGCACCAAGCTAGTGGTGCGTGTCGCCAGCCCGGTACGACCCATACCTGCTCCCCGCACCAAGCCAGGGGTGCGTGTTCCCAGTCCGGCCTGTTCCTGCTCCTCGCACCAAGCCAGTGGTGCGTGTCGCCAGTCCGGCCCGGCCCGTTCCTGCTCCTCGCACCAAGCCAGTGGTGTGTGTCGCCAGTCCGGCCCGGCCCGTTCCTGCTCCTCGCACCAAGCCAGTGGTGCGTGTCGCCAGTCCGGCCTGGCCGTTCCTGCTCCTCGCACCAAGCCAGTGGTGCGTGTTCCTAGTCCGGTCCGGCCCGTGCCTGCTCCTTGCACCAGACCAGTGGTGCGTGTGTCCAGTCCGGCACGGCCCGTGCCCGTGCCCGTTCCAGCTCCGGTCAGCAGCTCTACTCCGGAGCCAGAGCAGTCCGCTCCACCGGTGCCTAGTCCAGCTCCGGTCAGCGGCTCCAGTCCAGACCCAGACGTCAGCCCCTTTCCAGGTTCGAGGTCTCCCACACCAGGGTCCAGACAGGGCTTGGTACTTCGTGGGAGGAAGGAGAGGGGAAGCAGCGCGGCGAGGTCCAGACCAGACCAGGGGCGCAACAGGGAGGCGGAGAGTAAGTGGTCGTCCGGCCCCTACCCTGTTATGTAAAGTTTGTGCGGTCGGAGTCCGCTCCTTTGGGTGGGGGGGGGGGGGGGTACTGTCACGCCCTGACTTATGGGACTCTGGTATGTTGAGTCAGGGTGTGGTGTTCTATGTTGTGTTTTCTATGTTGTCATTCTAGGATTGTATGTCTATGTTTGGCCGGGTGTGATTCCCAATCAGAGACAGCTGTCGCTCGTTGTCTCTGATTGGGGTTCATACTTAGGCAGCCTATTGGCACTCGTTAGTTGTGGGATCTTGTTCCGTGAGTAGGCTTGTTTTGTGTTTTAGCCTTAGGACTTCACGTTTCGTTGTTTTGTGGTTTTGTTAGTGTGTTTATCGGTGAAATAAACATGTACGCATTTCACGCTGCGCCTTGGTCTGACCCGTCCTTCAACGAACGTGACAGGACAGATACTCCAATCTCCGCTGTGGAGCTTTGCAGCTCCTTCAGGGTTATCTTTGGTCACTTTGTTGCCTCTCTGATTAATGCCCTCCTTACCTGGTCCGTGAGTTTTGGTGGGCGGCCCTCTCTTGGCAGGTTTGTTGTGGTGCCATATTCTTTCCACTTATTAATAATGGATTTAATGGTGCTCCGTGGAATGTTCAAAGTTTCTGATATTTTTTTTACAACCCAACCCTGATCTGTACTTCTCCACAACTTTGTCCCTGACCTGTTTGGAGAGCTCCTTGGTATTCATGGTGCCACTTGCTTGGTGGTGCCCCTTGCTTAGTGGTGTTGCAGACTCTGGGGCCTTTCGGAACAGGTGTATATATACACTGAGATCATGTGACAGATCATGTGCCACTTAGATTGCACACAGGTGGACTTTATTTAACTAATTATGTGACTTCTGAAGGTAATTGGTTGCACCAGATCTTATTTAGGGTCTTCATAGCAAAGGGGGTGAATACATCTGCACGCACCACTTTTCCGTTATTTATTTTTTAGAATTTTTTTCATTTCACTTCACCAGGTTGGACTATTTTGTGTATGTCCATTACATGAAATCCAAGTAAAAATCCATTTAAATTACAGGTTGTAATGCAACAAAATAGGGAAAACGCCAAGAGAGATGAATACTTTTGCAAGGCACTGTACATGCTTGTGAATTGTTGCATTATTCAAGAGTGTAATATGGTTTGGTTGCACTATTCAATAGTGTGATATGTTTTAGAATAAACTTTTATGTTATTGTTGAATAGTTTGTGCTTACTGGCTAGTCGCTACTGTGATATTTACGGTCAATTTAAGATGCGGACCAAGAATGTCGCGTTGCCAGCCACAACGAAAGGTAAGGCAAGGATGTAATGTGAATTGAAAAGTAGAATTATCTTTCACCACCCTGCTCCTCAGACTCTCCTTCATACAGTATCTCATAGTGGGAATAGGCCTAAGAAAGAGAGTTTAAAACCTCTCTGCCAATAACATTTAGTTTTCCCCTCCCCACTCAGACCACTCCCTGACACTCCTGGCAAGATTCTTGCTTTAGAAACTGCTCTTTGCTAAGAAAGGTATTTTTGTTTCTTTTTGACCATTTTATTTGAAAACAATCACAGTAAGGTACTTAATTGTTACCGAGAAATTTGATATTGAGATCAAAACGGCTGCATTGGTTCAAGCGGCTCAGTGGGATATTTTTTCTTATTCTCAGAACCAAACTGCTGGCAGCAGAAAAACTCAATTTCATACAGCTGGCACCGGGCCCCAGGCCAAGAAAGGAAATGTACGATTAAATGTGACTTATTTGAAAGAGAGAGAAGGAGAAAAGAGACAGAGAGAGAGTAGAAAGACAGATGTTAATGGAGTGAAAAAAGTATTCACCATAAACCACTGCACCATTGAGAAATAATGTGGTGAACTCGACGTGACTTACTGTATAAATAGAGTAAAGAAAATAGTGAGCAATTTCATATACACTTACATTTCAAATCTGCAAAGATACTGTACCATCTGCTGTAAGAATGAATACCATGCTGAGTTTGGCGTCTAGCAATACCAATTACAAATCAGTATCTATCGGCAGACATGGATGAGAATGAAATAATCCTGCATTGAGTTTTAGGAGCTAGGCTACAGACGAACAGTTCCACAGTTCTATCAGATCAATTCACCCCTTGGGGATATGGATGTGGGTATGCAGACCCCTCATGATGAAATTCAATTTTGATATAGGGCAGGGCAACTTTGATGGGAGTACCGTCCATACTGGTGTGGTTGTCACACCTCAGTGGAACATTCTCCTTAAAATCCATGTTACATCACACCAATTGTTAAACTCAATATTCCAGACAGTCTTTTATTTTATTTATTATTATTTATTAAATTAACAAAAAGTAACAATGTTCTTTTAGCACGGCAGGGTGCTTGATTATTTTCTTCTTCTCTGTTGCTGAACAGTTAACTATGAAAAGTCATTATAAATAGCACCCAGTGACTCTGTAAAAGACAGAGAATAAGTACAGGGAGAGCATATAACATTCTCCTGATCACATAATACAGCAATGATAATACAATATGACTTATGTAAGTAGTAATTTCCTGAAAGCAGGGGGCCGGGGAGAGTGTGCAATCGAGAGGCCATGAAAGGAATTCAGTCCACATGTGAAGGCAGCATGGAGGCTCTTTGCACAGTAATAGGCTACATTTATGTAAATATAGGGCTTTCTTATATAAATCCTTGGAGGAGTTCAAAGAAGGAAATTCCTCTCTGAGAAACACTTCTAGTTATGAATATCACAGGCAATTTCAAAATATCAAAATCAAATGCAACATACTTTCCTGCACACTAGAGGGCGGAAGGAGCACAACATGACATGGAAAAGTCAATGAGGGAATAACTCAATGAGGGAAGGAGAGCTTACATTTTTGTGAGGTCAATAAATACTTAACTTCCGCTCATGGCTATTCATCATTGAGCCTTTACATGAGCAGCTATTTTCTATGATGTTCATGGTACATTTGAGTACGTAACCGATCCACTAATAAAACATTGAAAAGTTAAATAGGCAAAAGAGACAGGGATTTCTCTTGCATATTGGAATGTAATTAGACTAAAGACATTTCTTAATATAATGTATTGTTGTAAGATTCTTTGGAAATCAATACAATTGTAATTCAGTGACATAGTCAATTAAACATGTCCGTCCCATTAAAATAATGGACTTACATGCCAAACAAGGAAATACATTTTTATCAACAATAAACTGGTCTGTCATCTGAGTTAAAGGGGATTGACCTGTGGAATCCAAGAAATGCCTAAGTCACCAAAGCAGTAGAAAACCACTGCAAGCTATTCCATTCAGCACTTTTCCTGGTGCTGAAATTAATTTGAGCTGGCGTTCTATTTAGTTCAGAGGTTTACTTAATGCGTTAACTGAACACTATTTTGGGATAGTTTTAATACAACCTCTTGAAGAGAAGCAGCATAACATCAAATCCATATTCATCACCAACTGTTATGATTAGGCGGCTTCAAAGAACTGGCAAAACAATAACTCCTGTCTGTACAAAAGCAAATACCAATCTTCAGAGCCGAGTCAGAGCGGGATAAACAGACATTGTTCCCTCAGTTTTGGAAAGACTTGGCTTCAAAGCCTCTCTTTTGTCGAAAGTCAACCACTTCAAGTGATCCTGCTTCACGCAGTTAAACAGGGCAGTGAAGGGCCTTTTGTCGAGTCTGGAAATAACAGATCTAAAAATGACCTTTACCATTCCCCCAAGGCTAAACCATATTCAACTGCACACAGCTAACCTTAATCATGACAGGTGTTGAGCAATGGATGGTAAGTGTTTGTATTAACTACTAGATATTATGTCTGTTGTTCACTGTGTAGAACATTATTTACATTTACGTCATTTAGCAGACACTCTTATATTATGTTCTTTGATCCAATCTCAACATTAGGAACAGATTTATAATAGTGAAAATAGTCTGTTCATCATTATATATCAACAACAATCACATTAACTGTTCCTAAGCCAAAGGCAATAATTTTTAAATAATACTGTGACTTATCAGTATTTCCAAATGTCTAACTCTGCAAGTATGACACATTTTGCAAGCCCCTAAATGCAAACACCAGGTTTAAAAGCCTAGTATATTTCATGTGGGTTAGTTATTTCTTTGTTGTCAGGTGAATGAGAGAGAGCAATCAAACGGCATTCATTTAAATGCTATCACAGCTGTAATCTGTCCAGTAGTTTTTTCCTATAGCTAGTCATTTTAGGCTCTTACAGCAATGTGCTTTTTTTAAACTCATGTTGTTAGATTTGTAACAAAGAGACTTGAGTGTTGCATAGAGGAACAAGAAGCAACACCGAGTAAGAGCTGTGTTTAGGATTTAGTCTACTCTAACACGATCCACGGGGTGGCGACTGGCCAAGTTGTTCCAATTTGTCATGAGCCTATACACTGTGGGATGCATTTTCAATTTGAGGTGCAGTTTGAGTGAGTGCAGAGGCACACCAATACCTGGAGGAATGCATACAATAATCAATAATATAATCTGCAATGTATCCAATAGAAACTAACCCTGTATCCAAACCAAATAAATATTCACACTAGTGTGTACATGTGGTATTCATAAGATAAATAACTGACATTAGCTGGTATATTAACTAATATGAGTGAAATTGATTGTTCTTTGTTATACTCTGTACAACCTCTGAGATAAATATTCTCAATTGCCTCCACTGTTGCCATGGATATTCCCCCCTGCAATTACATACAAATTCCTATGCATGGCAGGCATTACATCTGCATTAACATAGGAACTATCAGAGTGACAACATGTATGGTATACATGTCATGTTTCTGTAGCAGTAGCAGCTCACACAAAGTGAGAGCTTAAATAACTAACGGCAGCAAAAAGGCATGACCTGTATAATCAACGAATCAGCATGAAGCGGCATGCAGGGAGAGAATGCAGCAGTCTATTTCAAGGTTATTGATGCCATCTTTTCATGACCTCATTTTTAATTCAGGGAGCAGAGCTCTGACAGCTAATCTTGGGAAACGGTTTAAATAAATATCATTAAAGCTTTCCCAGCTGGAGCTTTAGACCTTGGGTTGGACGTTAATTATAGATTGTTCCCTTTAAGCTAATGCACAGTAGAATGGCTGCAATGAGCAACTTTCCAAATGACAAGTACCTCAGGTTATCTTTTGTTCTGTTCATTCTGTGTTCTCTACTGCCTGCTGCTCAACACCATAAATACAGTCATTATTTCGATCTCTATCATTCAAAATAATGTCTCCAAGGCAACCGTTTCAGATGACTTCCATTAAAGAGGTAAATGGATAATGTGGATCATTTCAAATTACAGTCAGGGCTTGAGGACATTCAAAGTCCCAAACAAAAGACCAAGATCAGCATGTTCAGTTAATATAGTGCAATTACAACCAAATGTTTCCACTACTTGTAACTTAGGGGGGTAAATCAAAAGATGTTAGGATAAATGTTGCATGCTCTAGTTTAAAATTACTTATTGTGTTCTCAATGCTGAGTAATCATTAAGGGAAAACAAAAACGCCACCAGGGACCAAACATATACTTCACCAAATCAACAAACAGGGTCATTTATCATACACTTCCAAGGGAGAGAGAATAGCTTTGTTTGCTGAGCTAATACAATGAAGTTAATTGCCCTCCTAGCTGCTGGAATAGTGAGCCTCAGCTAAAATTCTCCTCCCCTGGCCTGTTTGTGTTCAGCTGAGATTTCCCGCTCTCTTTCTGACAGGGTGATATTCACTGCAGTGGGGATATTATTGGTTTGTATTGATTCAGCACAATTTCTCAGCTTTCTGTGGCTGTATTGAGAAAGGCCAGCGCAGCAGTCACACCTCACTGGTCCCCCCCAACCCCCTGTGCTGACACTGTCTATACCAGTCCTCCTACTCATGCAGGGTTGTGAAAGGGCATTTAAAAGGCAGAGCAAATACAGTCCCTTCTGGCTGCTCAGGAAGTTTAATTAAGCTGCAGTGCTATTTGGTATAATCTAACTGCTCAACCATATTCAAGTATCCAATTTTGTATGCACTCGTACATAGAGCATAGATAAACCTACACATATTGACTGAGCAATTCGGCCTGACTGTTTGTAATTGCTTAGATCTATACACATACTCATTATATGCATGCACAATATTGCTCTGCATGCCCTCTTTGACACGTACATCTGTTCCATAGCATTGCTTAGGCATGAAAATATCAGCCCGAGGGGGGTTCAGAGATGGCTAGCCGTAACAGGAAAGATTTATGAAAGAGAGGTTCTCGTATTAAGCACACAGCATTTGCCATTTGTTTAACCTTGAAAATATGTGTGTGCATGCATAATATCCTCAAGGCTCCCCAGGATCATATCCGTTTGCTGTTTGCTTTGGTTCAGACCCTCTCAATAGAAAAGGCTGGTTAGAGAGAGAAGTGTGACTGGTTTGGTGAATATAGCTGTGCTCTGTGTTAGTATGCATGGAGCAGCAGGGTGAGAGAGTCTGCGGACATGGCTAAGGACATCATTTCAGGAATAGGAAGGAAGCCTTACTTCCCTAAACAGGGTTTACATACACCTGATACTGGGGCTGAGAGTAGCATTCCTCTTCCTCCACTGCATTAGGAAAATGGGACAGGGCTTTGTTAATAACTCACCTCTCGTAGTGTCTTCGTGTGCATGTAGCGGCACTTGTGCTTCCTGGGTTTCCACCCAGCTCATCATATACATTTTTCCACTGTCTGCGAACTGTGATCTGAGAGAGAGAGAGTAAGAAAGAAAGTGATTTTAATGATGCTGTATATAATGCTGTGATAACATCTTTATAGATACTAGTAATTTTCCCAGTGTGAGTGGTTAATACTAACAAAGTTATGAAGTGTGCCACAGAGACCATAAAGAATTGTGTATTTTAAGCCCATATTGGCTGGGCACCAATTGGTGTATGACACTGAAATAAAATACATCAAATCTAATCACCACTCTCTAATGCAAAACCATCTCCATAACATGCCACCAGCTGTAGCTGGCTACCGCCGTCTCTACCACAGCATGGGCAAAACAGGGAAAAGTACAGTACAGTGGTAGAGTTCATTAAAGACGTCCACATTCTTCCCATCCGAAACAATCCGGAACAGTTCGTGCATATATTATGATGACATTTTCTGACGTTTTTGTTCGTTTTGGTCTTCAGCAAGATTTTTTTCGGCTGTTCATGCACACAAAAAACTTGAGGCAAGCCGAAGTCGTAAACCGAAGTCGGTAGCCAAAGTCTACACACCTTTGTCGGTGATTGGTCAACAATATGGATTCTTCAATGAAGTGCTTGTTGTCATTCAACAAGAGACCAATCGTTTCCATGCAATTTTTTTCACTTGAGAAATAATGAACCAATGACGTTACTTAGATGCAAAATTGCGCGACTAAGAGCACCTCGGCAAAAACGTCAAAATTAACGACAGATTTCTTGAGTTATCTTAGATTTATTCTGACTATTTTGAGGAAGTACTAAGGCGTCTCAAGATGGACAAACACCTATTGCTGCTTTTTTCTCATTTTCAAGCGAAGGTCTTTTAAAGGAGTATGTGAGCACACTCATTCGTTCGAACCGAAGCATGCGGAAGGCTTAAGAGTGATGAGTTATACCATTAGATACATACTGTAACTACACAAACCAACCACATGGCTTCCTGCTCACAAAGACAGCAGCAGGCATGAAATATTGATAATCATCTGCAGATAAAAAGGCTTTAAAAGGAAACACATCCCGATTACATGACTAGTTTCCTGTTTATATTTTGCCGGCTCGTCTCTCTGTATGACTATATGTAACTAATGAACTAACCAACATTCACAATGCATTTACACTTCACATCAAAACACACATTTTGGAAACACTTCCCAAATTAGTACTGAACAAATGTGAGGTAGGCTGCCAAGTGAAAGGTCCCTGCTCTGCTGTCTCACTGTGTATAATAGTCAGCTTTATTTTAGCGCCTCAACATGGGAAGAAAATGACAGACGTCACAAATTTCCTTGACATGGGAGGGTAACATGTGTTTTCCACTTAGAGGGGGTTTACAACAACGGTATCATTTTGCGAAATGTGGGCCTGACCAAGATTGTGAAGTATGGTGCAGGACATATGCAAACACTTACCAACTCATATCCTCCGAGTTTCTGAGCAGCTTGAAACATAGTCCAAAGGTTTACTGTTAGAGGGACAACAAACAGGGAGATCAATGGTATTCAGTCAGATCAACAAATACAAAGATACTGTCACATACAGTACATTCGGAAAGTATTCAGACCTTCACTTTTTCCACATTTTCTTACGTTACAGCCTTATTCAAAAATTTATGAAATCGTTTTTATCTTTAGCAATCTACACACAATACCCCATAATGACAAAGCACAAACTGGTTTTTAGATATTTTTGCTAATGTATATAAAAAAACAAAACGGAAATATGACATTTCCATAAGTACTCAGACCCTTTACTCAGTACTTTGTTGAAGCACCTTTGGCAGCGATTACAGACTTGAGTCTTCTTGGGTATGACTCTACAAGCTTGGCACACCTGTATTTGGGGAGTTTCTGCCATTCGTCTCTGCAGATCCTCTCAAGCTCTGTCAGGTTGGATGGGGAGCGTCGCTGCACATCTATTTTCAGGTCTCTTCAGAGATGTTGGATCGGGTTCAAGTCCGGGCTCTGACTGAGCCACTCAAGGACATTCAGAGACTTGACCCGAAGCCACTCCTGCGTTGTCTTGGCCGTGTGCTTAGGGTCGTTGTCCTGCTGGAAGGTGAACCTTCGCCCCAGTCTGAGGTCCTGAGCAGGTTTTCATCAAGGGTCTCTCTGTACTTTGCTCCATTCATCTTTCCCTCGATCCTGACTAGTCTCTCAGTCCCTGCCGCTGAAAAACATCCCCACAGCATGATGCTGCTGCCACCACGCTTCACCGTAGGGATGGTATTGGCCAGATGATGAGCGGTGCCTGGTTTCCTCCAGACGTGATGCTTGGCATTCAGGCCAAAGTGTTCAATCTTGGTTTCATCAGACCAGAGAATCTTGTTTCTCATGGTCTGAGAGTCCTGTAGGTGCCTTTTGGCAAACTCCAAGTGGGCTTTCATGTGCCTTTTACTGAGGAGTGGCTTCCGTCTGGCCACTCTACCATAAAGGCCTGATTGGTGGTGTTCTCCCATCTCCACAGATGAACTCTGGAGCTCTGTCAGAGTGACCATCGGGTTCTTGGTCACCTCCCTGACCAAGTCCTTTCTCCCCCGATTGCTCAGTTTTTCCGGGCGGCCAGCTCTAGGAAGAGTCTTGGTGGTTCCAAACTTCTTATATTTAAGAATGATGGAGGCCACTGTGTTATTGGGGACCTTCAATGCTGCAGAAATGTTTTGGTACCCTTCCCAGATCTGTGCCTCAACACAATCCTGTCTCAGAGCTCTACAGACAATTCCTTCAACCTCATGGCTTGGTTTTTGCTCTGACATGGACTGTCAACTGTGGGACCTTATATAGACAGGTGTGTGCCTTTCCAAATCAAGTCTAATCAATTGAATTTACCACAGGTGGACTCCAATCAAGTTGTAGAAACATCTCAAGGATGATTAATGGAAACAGGATGCACCTGAGCTCAATTTCGAGTCTCATAGAAAATGAACTGAATATCTATGTGAATAAGGTATTTCTGTTATTTATTTGTAATACATTTGCAAAAATTTATAAAAACCTGTTTTCGCTTTGTCATTATGGGGTATTGTGTGTAGATTGATGAGAAAAAAACATATATTTTAGAATAAGGCTGTAACATAACAAAATGTGGAAAAAGTGAAAAAACTTTCCGAATGCACTGTACTACATAAAGTACTGTAGATACAGCCTGCCACCTAGCTAGCTCTGTAACACTTCAGCTGAAGGGGATTTAAATAAACACCATTATGAGCATCAAGTATTACTTGACATGTTAGCACTTGTTACCAATGTTGGCACAAATGCCAATGCCATTTTGCATAGAATTTTACATGCAAAGATCCAATGACAGATGATATCACATGGATTAGAGGGGTTGTGTAGCATAGTGATTAGGCAGGTGATAAAAATCCAACAAAGACCCTTTCAGCTTGAAATCATTCCATCTCTGACAGTTTTTTCCCCGCAAACAATGAACCCACTTTATTGTGCGATTTTCCAAACAATGTCATTTGTATCTGCTTTCTGTTACATCATTGTAACATCATTTTTATATGAAGACCTATAAATAAGGAAGGCTCGCCTGGGGAGAAATCCATCAAAATTCAATCTTTGCGTACACAAAGGCTTGCATTTTTCAAAATGACATTTTCCTATCTCTGCATTTGACAGCATTGATTTTTCCTTTCTCCTCTTCCGTGGCTGTTGTCAATGAACAGGCAGAATAACAAAGGAAGCTGAGTGGGTTCTATTTGAACTGCAGAGTGGCATTGTGTTTTCAACTGGATAGCAGCTATGGCCTATTAATGGGGTTGTTATGCATAGACTGTAATTACCACAATAGCGAGCAGAATTAGGAAGGACAGAAAAGAGAAAGAAAATAAGAGAATACTTCTTTCTTAGATTATTTGCTGCCTGTTTTTTCTCTAATTCACTCTATTCAACAGGGCAATTATCACAGAGATAAGGATTGCAAAACAGACTAAACACAATGTAGACTAAAACAGACCCGTTCAAACAGGTAAATTATAAACAAGGCAAAAATAACCTCTCTAAAGGCAGCCTGAAATAATGTGCATCACCTCCCCCGCCCAACACACGCATACCAATTCCCTAACTCATTCTCCTATTTGCGACCAATGCCATTTAAAATGTGCAATGTAATGTCAAACTGTACCAACACTGACACACCCTCCCAGCCCCCTCATTGCACCATTTCCCCCTAATACTTCCATTGCACATTCAGAATGTGGTACCAACACTGGGAATAGTTGTTTACCCAAGTGAATGGAAGATAATGAAACCTATTTTTGTCATGTGGCTTTTCTTCCTCTGAAGTTCATTTATCTTACGTCCTGTGCAGCGAGCAGGCACACTGCTAAAGCTAAATAGAAGGCAAAGAAGACCCAAAGAAGCTTCCTTTCTGGTGGAACAGATAACAAACTTTGAGCCGGAGCTATAGCCTTGCACTGTGTAGAATATGCCATTCAAATAAAAAGGGATAGATTGTGCTTTAGAGGAAGTGGAATTGGTAGCTCTGTGTGCATTTCAGAGCCAATGGTTTAAAGAAGAAGATGTAATTATATGGCTTCTGTTAACAATCACACAAAGCGTGTAAGAGGCACATTGAAAGAGGACAGGAATACATGTGTATTACTGTTCGACAATCCAGTGCTTTTAAAACAGTTGTTGGCTTAATTATAGACCACTCATGAAAGCAAATACCAAAAACACAATTTCCATAACAGGAAAGTTTTGCTTTGATACTTGAGGCTATTGCAGTGACTGAAAGGAATAATGAAAGCTGATTGCGTCTGAGCATATTTTGTAGTAGTTATGTTTTTTTAAACAGTCAAGTTGCCAAGGACGAGTATAAACTGCATTATTGGAGGCTTTAATGAGAAGAGTCTTGCTTGGTTTGTAATTCAGAACATGTACTGCATGTAAAACAGTTGGCGTTATGCCTCGATACAACCGATGCTTTGCTGTAGACTCAGTAACTACAGTATGCATGCATACTGAGTCACTATCATCTCAACCACATTGGCCTACTTAAGAACAGCATCTTTGGTGTGAAGATGACATCTCTTTCCAAATACATACATGGTGTTAATTGTGAACCACAGCTTACATTTGTATAGAGAGACTAACATGTAAAACAGCTCACGTCTTTTCGTATAGAGTTAATTTAACCACAATGACGCATGGTTGTGCCGAGAAAGAATATTGAATGACGGTTCTTGTATGGTTCTCTATATAAGACATAATCTTCCCTAGCATGTGAAACCTCATTGTTGTGAAGTGAAACAAATGACCTACATGAGAAGCGTTTGATCTGAGCGAGATGTGTTTCCCATACATGCGACGCTCTGACAGTGTAAGAAGAAGCGATATGGACCCACATATGATGCTTTTGACAGGACCTGGTGTGGGAAGATTATACAGTGGCTTGCGAAAGTATTCACCCCCCTTGGCATTTTTCAGAATTTGTTGCCTTACAACCTGGAATTAAAATGGATTTTTGGGAGGTTTGTATCATTTGATTTACACAACATGCCTACCACTTTGAAAGATGCAAAATATTTTTTATTTTGAAACAAACAACAAATAAAAAATAAATACAAAACTTGAGCATGCATAACTATTCACCCCCCCCCTTTGGGGCCTTTCAGAACAGGTGTATATATACTGAGATCATGTGACAGATCATGTGACACTTAAATAAAGTCCACCTGTGTGCAATCTAACTAATTATGTGACTTCTGAAGTAATTGGTTGCACCAGATCTTATTTAGGGGCTTCATAGCAAAGGGGGTGAATACATATTCAAGCACCACTGTTCCTTTATTTATTTAGTAGAATTTTTTTAACAAGTTATTTGTTTCATTTCACTTCACCAATTTTGACTATTTTGTGTATGTCCATTACATGAAATCCAAATAAAAAATCCATTTAAATTACAGGTTGTAATGCAACAAAATAGGAAAAACGCCAAGGGGGATGAATACTTTTGCAAGGCACTGTATATCCTATATTCGAAGCTTATATGAATATAAAAGAAAGATATTTCACTCACTCTGCTTAAACCCCAGGAAGGGGATCCTATCGATAGGTGTGTCCCTCTCTTTCATGTACTTGTATAGGGCTACTAGGAAGGCCTGCTCGTCTGCACCACTTTCCTTTGATGATTCCTCATCCTCTTCTTTCTCCTCCTTCTCCTGCTTCTCCTCCCTCTCCACCTTCTCCTCCACAGATGCCTTTTTACAGATCCTGGGTTTGGCCGTTGTGCCCTTGCTGGTGGGAACTGTTACCTTGCAGTTAGGTTTTACCTGTAGGAAATATAAGAGTGGGAGTTGAAAGATTTAACACTCAACGTGAAGTGGGGGCTATTTAATGAATGCATGATTCTGTCAAAAGGATTATCATATCACCCCATATAAATTGCGACCTTTAAATGTTTTATTAAACCAAAGTGAAATAAAGTGAAGTGAAAGGCGAAGGCACACAAAGATGGAGGAATTCAGATATGATGTCATTGTTTTAAACTACGGCTTGTGAGATGGTTTAATGTGCAAATAAATCAGCATAATCTACTTTTCTTTTTTTTGCCGTCTTGGAACTAGAATTGGGATCAAGTTTACTGTGCTAATGCAGATACAATACGAACTTAGCAAAATAGGTATTTGTGGTAAGTACGTGGGGGCCACCATCTTTATGCATGTCCGCTATTAAATAAAATGTTACGTGAGTGGTGTACCTTGGTGGGAGACTTGTTCTCTGGGGTGCTGGGTTCTTGGGGTCCCTGAGGCCCCTGACTGTGGCCCTGGGAGTCCCTTCGCTGGGACACTGACAGTTTCTTCTTCCGTGGCCGACCCTTCAGGTTAGGGGCTGAGAGTATGGGGACAAAACACATGCTGGTTAGTATCCTAGTGACAATGTTTCTGGGGAATGGAAGACACAACCACACACAGGGCCTAGGGAAGGAAGATAAGCAAGCTAATTCTTCTGGATTATTTGTGTAATAAGCATTTAGCAAATAAACATTTATTTTCTAGGTCACAGGAGTGTAGCATAAAAACTATGTAAACATCTGAATAACAATTCCAATCCTCTAAAGTTAAATCCATGAGAACATTAGGTAATGTTGTTGCACAACACATACACTGATCTAATCATTATTTCCATTCTTAGTTTCCTTGTAACTCGCTGATTTGAGATCTTTAACATTGTCAGTTATAAAACACATAAACCTGTCTGATTGGACTCCTTTGTTAGAGGTAGGCAGATAATTCCACAGTACACAAAGTATTTGAAAACCTCCAAAGTCTTTCTACGGCCACATTTTATGTCAACCACCAACTGTACTGTAACATCTTGGCAGACTGCCTTCCTCAGTAACAATAACAATGATAAACTAAAAGGAGAGACGAGGCACTCGATTTGAGCCAGGTTAAGTCAAGTAGTTCAGAGCGACATTCCGTGTGCAATGACAATTAAATCACGTCCAAGGTTAGAGGCAGCCAGGGGAATAATCTTTTGCCGGATCAAATTCTCATCATGGTTTGAAGAAAGAAAATGTTACAAAAACAAAGCCCAATGAAATCGAGGAGGAAGTAATTACAGTTGGTGAATGCTATAGTGACTCAATGACCTTTCACTTCACATTCTTTCCAAAACAGGCAGGAAAAAAGGCAAGGAAAATGACACCATGTTCTGTAATCAGCTTGGCAACTGCAAGTTTTCACAATACTTGGCCTGACTGTAATACAGGACAGTGCACTGTATTTTCTTTTTCTTTTCTTTCTTTCTCTCCCTCTATAAAGTTGAAGTCTTACAATACCCTGAAGTCCAATCCTTTGCGTAATGGATGACTCATGAATGTTAATACAAACAAGCTGACCTGAGCTCTACCTCATTGAGATTTGTTTTTCACCATGTGACATCAGTTTAAACAAGAGATTATATATCTAAAACAGGCCTATGTAGGAAAAAGTGCCTAAATAATACTCTCAGGGCTCTTTTTTTCAGCTGGCGTTAAGGTGGCACTAGTGTCAAACGCACATTAGTTTGCAATTTCATCATGTAAAAACTGGCGCATTTTCCAGCCCTAACGCCAGGTTCGGCCATTTACAGTGAGGGAAAAAAGTATTTGATCCCCTGCAGATTTTGTACGTTTGCCCACTGACAAAGACATGATCAGTCTATAATTTTAATGGTAGGTTTATTTGAACAGTGAGAGACAGAATAGCAACAAAAAAATCCAGATAAACGCATGTCAAATATGTTATAAATTGATTTGCATTTTAATGAGGGAAATAAGTATTTGACCCCTCTGCAAAACATGACTTAGTACTTGGTGGCAAAACCCTTGTTGGCAATCACAGAGGTCAGACGTTTCTTGTAGTTGGCCACCAGTTTGCACACATCTCAGGAGGGATTTTGTCCCACTCCTCTTTGCAGATCTTCTCCAAGTCATTAAGGTTTCGAGCCTGACGTTTGGCAACTCGAACCTTCAGCTCCCTCCACAGATTTTCTATGGGATTAAGGTCTTGAGCCACTCCTTTCTTGCCTTGGCCGTGTGTTTTGGGTCATTGTCATGCTGGAATACTCATCCACAACCCATTTTCAATGCCCTGGCTGAGGGAAGGAGGTTCTCAGCCAAGATTTGACGGTACATGGCCCCGTCCATCGTCCCTTTGATGCGGTGAAGTTGTCCTGTCCCCTTAGCAGAAAAACACCCCCAAAGCATAATGTTTCCACCTCCATGTTTGACGGTGGGGATGGTGTTCTTGGGGTCATAGGCAGCATTCCTCCTCCTCCAAACACGGCGAGTTGAGTTGATGCCAAAGAGCTCGATTTTGGTCTCATCTGACCACAACACTTTCACCCAGTTCTCCTCTGAATCATTCAGATGTTCATTGGCAAACTTCAGACGGCCCTGTATATGTGCTTTCTTGAGCAGGGGGACCTTGCGGGCGCTGCAGGATTTCAGTCCTTCACGGCGTAGTGTGTTACCAATTGTTTTCTTGGTGACTATGGTCCCAGCTGCCTTGAGATCATTGACAAGATCCTCCCGTGTAGTTCTGGGCTGATTCCTCACCGTTCTCATGATCATTGCAACTCCACGAGGTGAGATCTTGCATGGAGCCCCAGGCCGAGGGAGATTGACAGTTATTTTGTGTTTCTTCCATTTGCGAATAATCGCACCAACTGTTGTCACCTTCTCACCAAGCTGCTTGGCGATGGTCTTGTAGCCCATTCCAGCCTTGTGTAGGTCTATAATCTTGTCCCTGACATCCTTGGAGAGCTCTTTGGTCTTGGCCATGGTGGAGAGTTTGGAATCTGATTGATTGATTGCTTCTGTGGACAGGTGTCTTTTATACAGGTAACAAGCTGAGATTAGGAGCACTCCCTTTAAGAGTGTGCTCCTAATCTCAGCTCGTTACCTGTATAAAAGACACCTGGGAGCCAGAAATCTTTCTGATTGAGAGGGGGTCAAATACTTATTTCCCTCATTAAAATGCAAATCAATTTATAACATTTTTGACATGCGTTTGTCTGGATTTTTTTGTTGTTATTCTGTCTCTCACTGTTCAAATAAACCTACCGTTAAAATTATAGACTGATCATTTCTTTGTCAGTGGGCAAATGTACAAAATCAGTAGGGGATCAAATACTTTTTTCCCCTCACTGTACCTGTCTTATATCAGCTCGTTGCGCTCAGATTGACAGGGTGGAAATATTTGAGGTGTGTCCTTAGAAACATGATCCAATGTGCTAATTTCTGGCAGCGCTGATGGGGATAATTAAAACCAACCAAAAGCTGGTTTTCGCGGTAACGCAGTTGGTTGTAGTATGAATGTTGACAGCGGAAACGCAGCCTATCCAGCCGTGACGCACACTGCCCATTTGCGCATAGAACAAGAGTAGCCTAATGTGCTTTTGATGCCTGTATACTGTTTTTCTCCATTTAGTTTTATTTGATAAAAAACCAAGCATAGCCTCCCCTCCTCTCAATTAAGGCTTTTTTTTGTCTGCCCAATGCAATCGCAAAGTAGTCAAGACTGTCGATAAAGGGTTTGGCTCCTGAGACCGCTAGGAAATAAATCTTAATCACCAAAGCTTTATTCAAATATCAAGTTTGAGAGGAGTTGCGTTTAGGACCTGCGTAAAACCCCCTCCTTGATGTAGGCTATGTGTCCATGCCCATCTTGAAACAAGAAATGAGAACCATAATACCGATGAACCTCGTATTTAGAAGTTATCTGTAACCTGTAAAAATTGGTTGCAACTTCTGGTGTGTGAATGTGATCTGATCTGTAAGATGGTTCCGATTATGTTCATAAAACATAGGCCTATTTGGGAGCAGTATAACGGTGAGTGGACATTCTCCCTTTCTCTTTATATTGGATCTTTGTCCAGCTACTAAAAGTTTGGATGTGCGTAAAACCCTCCATAGTCTGTGTATTTTTTTATATTAAATGCCCACGGGGAGAAATTATGTTGCCTGTAAGTGTGACATAGCTTACTTAAAACAAGTTGTTGCTTCATTTTGTTTAGAATTTGATTATAATTATTTGTTCTCTTTTTAGGCCTTATCAATAATGAACTTAATCTTGCTTATTGAGAATGTTTGGCATGTCCATGCTCAGCGATAATGCAATTCACAGTAGGCCTAGACCCTATATCAGTGTGAATGCTATTGAAGCCATGCAATTACTTAGAACAATGTGGACTGGGTTCAAGTTAACTATTTATCAAAGATAGGTCTACATTTTGTTATTTCGTTTCTGTAAGCCATTTAACAAACTATAACGGACTAACATTGGAATTGGAGTTGATTCCAAGGCAACACAAAAGAACGTAAATACACAACTTGAAGCAACCACATATTTCGCCATGAAACACCCACAACTTGTTTATTCATCAAAACCCAGCCCTTTCGCGCCAACGCCAACAAGTACGCCGATAATTGTAATAGTGAAAATAGCAAAAATATTTCTGACACACCCCTGAACCTATAGCGCTACCGTCTGCGCTTAGATTTACCACTGAGTTAGGTTTGTTCAAATAGAGCCCTCAATGTGGGCCTTTTTTAGAAACCCAATCCATAAGCTCATGACATTCAGCATGTACACTACCGTTCAAAAGTTTGGTTCACTTAGAAATGTCCTTGTTTTCGAAAGGAAAGCACATTTTTTGTCCATTAAAACAACATCAAATTGATCAGAAATACAGTGTAGACACTGTTAACGTTGTAAATGGCTATTGTAGCTGGAAACAGCAGATTTTTTATGGAATATCTACATAGGCGTACAGAGGCCCATTATCAGCAACCATCAGTCCTGTGTTCCAATGGCACGTTGTGTTTGCTAATCCAAGTTTATCATTTTAAAAGGCTAATTGATCATTAGAAAACCCTTTTGCAATTATGTTAGCACAGCTGGAAACTGTTGTGCTGATTAAAGAAGCAATACAACTGGCCTTCTTGAAACTAGTTGAGTATCTGGAGCATCAGCAATTGTGGGTTCGATTACAGGTTAAAAATGGCCAGAAACAAATAACTTTCTTCTGAAACTCATCAGTCTATTCTTGTTCTGAGAAATGAAGGCTATTCCATGCGAGAAATTGCCAAGAAACTGAAGATCTCATACAACGCTGTGTACTACTCCCTTCACAGAACAGCTCAAACTTGCTCTAACCAGAATAGAAAGAGGAGTTGCAACTCTGCCTAGGTCAGCATCCCGGAGTCGCCTCTTCACTGTTGACGTTGAGACTGGTGTTTTGCGGGTACTATTTAATGAAGCTGCCAGTTGAGGACCTGTGAGGCGTCTGTTTCTCAAACTAGACACTCTAATGTATTTGTCCTCTTGCTCAGTTGTGCACCGGGTCCTCCAACTCCTCTTTCTATTCTGGAAATGTCTAAGTGACCCCAAACTTTTGAACGGTAGTGTAACTCAGAGGAGAGCATATTGTGTAATAACACGTTGTTTGCGGTGCACATTTCACAGATCAAATGCTACAGATGTGAAGACTGGGAGATAAATGTTACATGCCGTTTATGATGACTGTGGTTGAGATTCACCGATTTCCAGATAGTGGTTTTAGAAGTTTGTTTGATTTGCACAGCAGTGTATCCTGGATGGAGGGAGTTGACACTTGATTTAGAAACTGATAATGCAATTCACTCACAATTTATAACGCGTGATTTGGTTATAGTGCAAAAAAAAATTCTGGGGCACAATGAATCGTGTGTGTTAACTCCTCTGACTACATCAGATATTTGTCTTTGAGCTGATGCCATTGGTTTGACATGGATCTGCGGACATCTGTGCTAGTTTAAAAACATCAGAAAGCCCCCCCCACTTTCAGTATATCGACTTCAAATGAGCCTCAAGGTCAAGTTGAGGAATGTGAGGAATCATTTTATTATTCTGAGCCTGTATGCCACTGATCATGTTCCCTGATGGTAGTTACATAAGGAAACCTCCTCACAATAACACACAGGCATTAGGTCTGCTCTGGCTTTTTTGGGGTCACTGACCTGACTTAAGGTTGAATATGAAGGTTGCTGGTTCAAACCCCTAGAGGAATACACAGCTGTTTAAATGGCCAGCTGTAAAAAGTGGCAGAGATTTAGAGTGCAGGTCAAATGCATAAGTTACCTTGGATAAAAGCTTGCTCTCTTGGCAGAGGCAGACATAAAATCACACCCTGGGGAAAATCCATCATTTCTGTCATTGAGCATCACCCCAGAGGCATTAAAGTCACAATGAATTCAGCAGCGATACAAGCTGACAACTTGATATTTTGATGCAGTCCAATGCTCCTCTTAATGTCTGATAGTATTTTGTCTAAATTTCTACAATTCAATTAAGAACTAGCACTTCATTATCATTCCGTGGACACCACGTTTGAAAAAGTCATTAGACACCTCAGAATGGGTTCTGACATTCCACATCGACAGCGTGGCCACGGGATCTGCAGAACACGTCAGCAGGGGACGTTCATCTGACAGATTCCCTGGGATTATGCAGCAATGAATAAAAAACACTGTATAAAAGTGAAGAATAACATTCAACCTAAATACTACCTTAATGATGTATTGATAGTTTGAAATTATAGCTTTCATACACATACTGTACGATCTTGTTTTGAACCTAATGCACTATTTAAATCTGAGCTGGCATTGGTATATACTGTAGAGCGATGGTGCAATATAACACTAAAATGCTTCCTCGCTAAAATACAGTGCTGCTGCAACAACATCTTATGAAATGCTACTGTACTCAGTGAAATAAATCCACAACCACATACAAATAAGCTGCACTCTTTACTGAATCACTGCTGACGCAAGTGCCACTTTGACTCTTGGTCCAAAATAGCAACTTCTTTGTTTTTATTCCCACATGACTTTGAAACTAATTATAGGGCCTATATTTCATTGACGTCCAAATATGCTTTTGAGAGTCCGACATCTTCCCAGCAAAAGGGAGAAATGGTTTCACTACAACCCTGTGACCCAAATGAGGCCAAAGTTTATATACAGAAGAGGGAAGCGCAGTGAAAAATCCATCAGGCTGAAAATCCCCACTGACTGCCATTCATGTGTAAAGTGTCAGGTATTATTAGAACAACAATACAAGGCTAATGTCTACATAAAGTCGACTTTTATTTCAGATAGTATATTAGTATGTGGTGAGCTGCACATTTGATCTGTGTTATTAAGTTATGAACAGCAGCCAGTGTCTGACTGAAAAGCTAATAATTTTCACTCTGGCATTTGATAGGTGAGCTACGCCCCTTGCGTAGCCCCAGGCTTATTTCCATGCCTAGTCATTTAGAAAATTGTGACAATTAAGTGGTAAACACAACATTTTCAGAACACCACAATTTCATATGCCTCTAAATTGAAATGATACGCTATATTTACAAAATAATAGCAATTGTTACAGATGACAACGTTTTCAAAATCAGAACTATAAAGGGTTGATTTATTATTATACCCTTATTATGAATGTACATTTTTTTTAAAATGTATTTCACTCTATACGTAGACTTTCCATGATCGTCATGTACACTCGAATATTGGTAAGTTATTTCAGAAAAAATGATTTGTTAGTGAACAGGCCATGTAGAATATAATGGAACCACAGCACAAGACATAATTTAGTTGCTGAGAGCTATTCTAAATTTAATGAAGAATGTGGTTTGCGTATTCTCAGTAAACACTGGTAATGTTGACACACAACACATACACATAATGCCAAGCATGCAAACACTAGTTAGTACTTACTGTTCTTTCTGTTCATTAACCAGTGAAAGAGAGACAGAAAGACAGCAAGATGGAGAAAGCAGGGTCGGCATTATGGGCGGGCTTTAAGTGGCCTGGCCCGCCCTATCGTACCTGCTTGCCCGTCCAAATAAAATATTGAAAATGGATCATTTATTTGACCGAGACGCACGCCGACAGAAAGACGCATCAATCTCAGATAAAGCATCCGAGCAAGCAAAAATGGCATGTCGTATTATCTTTGTCCAGACAGTGTCAGATACATGGGTTACATATAGTAAGACAGAGGGCTGCTGTTTCGCTCGCTTGGATGCTTTATCCGGTGAGATATTTTCAGCAGAGTGGAAGAGGCGAAGCAAAAGGGCTCACTCGCGCCAAAATCTGTCCAGAATAAGCGTTTCTATGGCATTAATATGCAGACCTAAGCTTGTCGCCTGCTTTCCCGCCTCTGGGACAACGACTCCCATTGTTAGGGCGGAGACATGAGCATCTCATCATTATATACAGATCTCTGGTATCAACCACTTGCGAATTGGAAAGGAATGTTGGCAGGTGCTGGCTTCCCCTAAAGTAAATTGACATTTTGCCAAAATTATATAGGTTACTCCTGTCTAAATAAAATAATTCAAAATACTTCACCAGAAATACTTAGCCACAAAGGGTCATTCGTTTTTTAAATTTGTTTTATAGCTGTGGATTGTTTCAAATCGCAAGTGCGTAGGCCTTTGCCTATTTGAGAAGTGCCAATTTGGGATGCGTGCGTGGCAATAGGCCTGTGTTGCGGCTGTTTGAGTTGTGGCTGTCAGTGAAATGCATCTAAATTATGTGTGAAGATAAAGTGTCTTGAGTATAATTGAAAATGTTGAGACAAGAAGAAGGGGAGGGGTGTGTGGCTAAGATACACTGTAAAAATAGATAGTCTCAAAACACCATGATTGTGTAATGAAACCATGAAAAGTAGTGCATCTAAACTGAGATCTGGTGTTTGGAGGATGTTTGAATGTAAACCCAATGTAATTGTTTTAATAGACAGAATGTACTCTGAAACACCTAAAGTGGTTCTTCAACCCGAATATTGGTGTTTTTAAGAGAGTGTTGTGACAACACTTAGGGTTTCAGTGCATGTAAAAGGCATCATACAATCAATGGTTTAAAAATGCTAATTTTTTTAGAGAATTGTGGGTAATTCAACATTTGTATACTTTATGATTCTTTCACACAATGGTGTATGCATGTTTTAAGAAATACAATTATATTTCTATATTAGTATTAAGCATGTTGCGCTATGAGGTGTAATGGATCATGATGAACGGATATCCAAACCATCGGGCAAATTGACATTCAATGAATTTTACCCATTCAAACACACAGCCAGACTAAGAAATTATTCTGGGATGAATTGAAATTGACAAAAAACAACAACTAACATATTGTCACGCTTGTGGATTGATGGCTCGGACCAAGGTACAGCGTGGTAGGCGAACATTTTAATTCAATAAATGAACACAGACCAAACAACAATAATACACACGAATGTAAAGTACTGCAGGCTACAAAGCCACTACACAAAACCAAGATCCCACAAACTAAGGTGGAAAAAAGGCTGCCTAAGTATGATCCCCAATCAGAGACAACGATAGACAGCTGCCCCTGATTGGGAACCATACCCGGCCAACAAAGAAATAGAAAAACTAGAATGCCCACCCAAATCACACCCTGACCTAACCAAATAGAGAATAAAAGGGATCTTTAAGGTCAGGGCGTGACAGTACCCCCCCCCCCCAAAGGTGTGGACTCCGGCCGCAAAACCTGACTCATTAGGGGAGGGTCCGGGTGGGAATCTAGCCTCGGTGGCGGCTCCGGTGCGGGACGTAGACCCCGCTCCGCTCGCGGATCCGCCATCTTCGGTGGAGACTCTGGTACGGGGATCGTCACCGGAAGCTCCGGACCTTGGATCGTCGCCGGAGGAACCGGACCATGGATTGTCGCCAGACACTCCGGACCGTAGATCGTCGCCGGAGGAACCGGACTGTGGATCGTCGCCGGAGGAACCGGACCGTGGATCGTCGCCGGACACTCTGGACTGCCGACCGTCGCCGGACACTCTGGACTGCCGACCTATCGCCGGACACTCTGGACTGCCGACTGTCGCCGGACACTCTGGACTGCAGACCGTCGCCGGACACTCTGGACTGCAGACCTATCGCCGGACACTCTGGACTGCCGACCTATCGCCGGACACTCTGGACTGCCGACTGTCGCCCGACACTCTGGACTGCAGACCGTCGCCGGACACTCTGGACTGCAGACCGTCGCCGGACACTCTGGACTGCCGACCGTCGCCGGACACACTGGACTGCAGACCGTCGCCGGAGACGCTGGACGGCAGACCGTCGCAGGAGGCTCCGGGCCATGGACCGTCACTGGAGGCTTCGTGCCATGGATCATCACTGGAGGCTTTGTGCCATGGATCATCACTGGAGGCTTCGTGCCATGGATCATCACTGGAGGCTTCGTGCCATGGATCATCACTGGAGGCTTCGTGCCATGGATCATCACTGGAGGCTTCGTGCCATGGATCATCACTGGAGGCTTCGTGCCATGGATCATCACTGGAGGGTTCGTGCCATGGATCATCACTGGAGGCTTCGTGCCATGGATCATCACTGGAGGCTTCGTGCCATGGATCATCACTGGAGGCTTCGTGCCATGGATCATCACTGGAGGCTTCGTGCCATGGATCATCACTGGAGGCTTCGTGCCATGGATCATCACTGGAGGCTTCGTGCCATGGATCATCACTGGTGGCTTCGGGCCATGGATCATCACTGGAGCCCGGCAAGTGCGGGGCGCTGGCACACGACGCACTGGGCTGTGAAGGCACACTGGCGACACAGTGCGTAGAGCCGGCGCAGGATATACTGGGCCGTGGAGGCGCACTGGAGGTCTGGAGCGTAGAGCTGGCACAACCCGTCCTGGCTGGATGCTCACTTTAGCCCGGCAAATGCGGGGCGTGGGCACCAAGCGCACCGGGCTGTGAATGCGCACTGGAGACACAGTGCGTATCACCGCATAACAGGGTGCCTGAACAGTCACACGCTCCTTAAAGCGAGTGCGGGGAGTTGGCTCTGGTCTGAAACCTGGCTCCGCCAACCACCCCGTGTGCCCCCCCAAAATAATCTTTGGGGTTGCCTCTCGGGCTTCCAGCGTGGTCGTGACCTTCGGAGTTGCCGTTGATCCTCGCTCGCTGCCTCCGTCTGCTCCATACCTGCCCGGATCTCTCCCCACGTCCAGGATCCCTTTCCGTCCAAGATCTCCTCCCATGTTCCCATGTCCACAATGTCTGCTCCTCCTGGCCACGCTGCTTGGTCCGTTTGTGGTGGGATCTTCTGTCACACTCGTGGATTGACGGCTCAGACCAAGGTGCAGCGTGGTAGGCGAACATTTTAATTCAATAAATGAACACAGACCAAACAACAATAATACACACGAACGTAAAGTACTGCAGGCTACAAAGCCACTACACAAAACCAAGATTCCACAAACTAAGGTGGAAAAAAGGCTGCCTAAGTATGATCCCCAATCAGAGACAACGATAGACAGCTGCCTCTGATTGGGAACCATACCCGGCCAACAAAGAAATAGAAAAACTAGAATGCCCACCCAAATCACACCCTGACCTAACCAAATAGAGAATAAAAGGGATCTCTAAGGTCAGGGCGTGACACATATACTTAATAAAACTGAATGCAAGTCGTGCAGAGCCCAACCACTCCAGCCGACGCTTGGCATTGCGCATGGTGATCTTAGGCTTGTGTGCGGCTGTTCAGCCATGGAAACCCATTTTATGAAGCTCCCGACGAAGAGTTCTTGTGCTGACGTTGCTTCCAGAGGCAGTTTGGAACTGCAACCAAGGACAGACTATTTGTACGCACTACGCACTTCAACACTCGGTAGTCCCGTTTTGTGAGGTTGTGTGGCCTACCACTTCGAGGCTGAGCCGTTGTTGCTCCTAGACATTTCCACTTCACAATAACAGCACTTACAGTTGACCAGGGCAGCTCTAGCAGGGCAGAAATTTGATGAACTGACTTGTTGGAAAGGTGGCATCCTATGATGGTGCCACATTGAAAGTCACTGAGCTCTTCAGTAAGGCATTCTAATGCCAATGTTTGTCTATGGAGATTGCATGGCTGTGTGTTCAATTGTATACACCTGTCAGCAACGGGTGTGGCTGAAATAGCCAAATCCACAAATTTGAAGGGGTGTCCACATACCTTTGTATATATAGTGTATATTTCTATATGAGTATTAAGCTTGTTGTGCCATGAGGTGTAATGGCTCATGATGAATGGATATCCAAACCGTCAGGCAAATTTACATTCAATGAGGACAGCACCCATTCCCACATTCATGATTGTCAATTCTTGCAGTTCAACCTCCAGTTAGTGCTGGTGGTTTGAACACTGTGCTTGACAATGCCTGTCAAAACGGTATAAAATTGCAAATGATCAAATACATAAAACAATGTTAAACATTAAGACACTTCAGAAAAAGGATTCAAAGGATTGTTTTGAATGACAGGATTCAAAACATCATAATGGTGTTTAGAAGCTTTAGAGAGAGGAAACAACACCAAAAGAGAAGGTATCTAATTCTGCACTAAACAGGACACTAAACACCAAAATAGTGTTTTCAATAGTTTCTGTTAGTGCTCCCAGTCCCTGGCAAGGTGTTGTACAACACTTCATTAAGTGGTGTTACAACACAGTGTCATGTTTAAAAACATCTCAGGATGATGTGTTTCAATACTCCATCTAAGTTAAGGTTGTGTCCTTCAAGTTGGTGGCAGCTCAGTTGCCACTAGTATTGGTGTTACAAAGCACTTAATTCTAACAGTGTATATGGCTTGTCTCTCTCCAGAATGCATGCACTCAGCTCTCCAGAATGCGTTCAGCTGTCTCCTGCCAATTCATGTGCATTCATTGTTTCATTGTGTGAATTGTTTGCATTTGATTGTTTATTTTGATCAATTCCCCATTACATACGTATGTCACCAGTAGGCCTTTAATCCCCGTCATTTAGTTAAATTAATTTCTGCTAATGCAAGTATTAATTACCTACAGTAATTTACCGTTCTCATTCTCGGAGTGGAAACATAGTTTGCAGAGTTCATAACCTGCTACACCTATGAGAAACAAGTTTTGGTTTATTTCATAACCATAATTTACGAGTTTTGTCAATTTTTTAATTGTCTTTTGTTTGGAGTGCTCCATGTGAGCAATGAGCATATGTACAGTGGGGAAAAAAAGTATTTAGTCAGCCACCAATTGTGCAAGTTCTCCCACTTAAAAAGATGAGAGAGGCCTGTAATTTTCATCATAGGTACACGTCAACTATGACAGACAAAATGAGAAAAAAAAATCCAGAAAATCACATTGCAATGCATGTTTTTTTAACATGCATTGCAAATTATAATAGTTCCTCATGATAATCACCAAACCTCGATGTGAAAGAACAAAATATCATGACCTAATGATCACATAGAGTACCAGTCAAAAGTTTGAACACATCAACTCATTCAAGGGTCTTTCTTTATTTTTACTATTTTCTACATTGTAGAATAATCGTGAAGACATCAAAACTATGAAATAACACACGGAATCATGTAGTAACCCAATTGTTTTTAAACAAATCAAAATATATTTGATATTTTCTATTCTTCAAAGTAGCCACCCTTTGCCTTGATGACAGCTTTGCACACTCTTGGCATTCTCTCAACCAGCTTCACGAGGAATGCTTTTCCAACAGTCTTGAAGGAGTTCCCACATATGCTGAGCACTTGTTGGCTGCTTTTCCTTCACTCTGCGTTCCAACTCATCCCAAACCATCTCAATTGGGTTGAGGTCGTGTGATTGTGGAGGCCAGGTCATCTGATGCAGCACTCCATCTTCTTGGTCAAACAGCCATTACACAGCCTGGAGGTGTGTTGGGTCATTGTCCTGTTGAAAAACAAATGATAGTCCCACTAAGCGCAAACCAGATGGGATGGCGTATCGCTACAGAATGCTGTGGTAGCCATGCTGGTTAAGTGTGCCTTGAATTCTAAATAAATAATCAACAGTGTCACCAGCAAAGCACCCCCACACCATCACACCTCCTCCTCCATGTTTCATGGTGGGAACCACACATGCGGAGATCATCTGTTCACCTACTCTGCATCTCACAAAGACACGGTGGTTGGAACCAAAAACCTCAAATTTGGATTCATAACACCAAAGGACAGATTTCCACCGGTCTAATGTCCATTGCTCGTGTTTCTTGGCCCAAGCAAGTCCCTTCTTCTTATTGGTGTCCTTTAGTAGTGGTTTCTTTGCAGCAATTCGACCATGAAGGTCGGATTCACGCAGTCTCCTCTGAACAGTTAATGTTGAGATGTGTCTATTACTTGAACTCTGTGAAGCATTTATTTGGGCTGCAATCTGAGGTGCAGTTAACTCTAATGAACTTATCCTCTGCAGCAGAGGTAACTCTGGGTCTTCCATTCCTGCGGCGGTCCTCATGAGAGCCAGCTTCATCATAGCACTTGATGGTTTTTGCGACTGCACTTGAAGAAACTTTCAAAGTTATTGACATTTTCCGGATTGACTGACCTTCATGTCTTAAAGTAATGATGGACTGTCATTTCTCTTTGTTTATTTGAGCTGTTCTTGCCATAATATGGACTTGGTCTTTTACCAAAAAGGGCTATCTTCTGTATACCACCTCTACCTTGTCACAACACAACTGATTGGCTCAAACACATTAAGAAGGAAAGAAATTCCACAAATAAACTTAATAAGGCACACCTGTTAATTGAAATGCATTCCAGGTGACTACCTCATGAAGCTGGTTGAGAGAATGCCAAGAGTGTGCAAATCTGTCATCAAGGCAAAGGGTGGCTATTTGAAGAATCTCAAATATAAAATATATTTTGATTTGTTTAACACGTTTTTGGTTACTACGTGATTCCATATGTGTTATTTCATAGTTTTGATGTCTTCACTATTAAATAGTAAAAATAAAGAAAATCCCTTGAATGAGTAGGTGTGTCCAAACGTATAACTGGTACTGTATATCCAGTGGAAACGTCATAGAATACCTGAAAATGTTTCCCTTGCGCAAAAGAAGCTGTCTGTCCCAAGCTCACTGGCACAGAAACTCTGAGGTCCCGGAAAAGGCTAGTTGATATAATGTTGCAAGTTCACTAGCATTCGGGCCGGACCCAGTTGATTGATTTGATACAATGTTGCACTTAACTAATGATAGCTCAAGTCAGATAGAAAGGGAGGCAGACAGGCGGAGTAGAGAGATGAATGTGATTGAAAGAACCTGAATTTTCATCAGGATATTTTCTACAGTTTTGTTTTTTTAGGGGGTAGATCAGCTTTAAAACTGCAGATAGATTGTAGCTTCCATTAATGTAACTGTCTGCATCATTTCCAATCCCCCATATATTTTTTGGTAAATATTAATACGGTGCCTTCGGAAAGTATTCAGAGCCCTTTACTTTTTCCACATTTTGTTACGTTACAGCCTTATTCTAAAAATGATTTTTTGTTTTAAATGTCTTATCAATCTACACATAATACCCCATAATGACAAAGCAAAAACTGTTTTTTAGAAATGTTTGCTAATTTATTATAAATAAA